TGTGGAGGGGGGCCAGTATGTATTCATGTATACATATGGAGGTCAGATGACATCTTGTAGGATTCTCTCCGTCTATCCTGTGAGAACCAAGGATTGAACTCAGGTTATCAGGTTTGGCCACAAGCACCTTTACCCACTGAGCCATCTTGTCAGATGATATTATTGCATAGCGTTTATGCTGTGTTAGGTATTTCAAGTCACCAAGCAATGAGGTAAAGTCTATGAGAAGATGTATATGGGCTTTAAGACAATTCCATTTTATCTGAGAGACTTGAGCATCTGTGAACTTGGGTAAGGAGAGATGGGGATATTCTTTAGTAAGTTTTCCATAGACAGAGAGGAGAGGGATGGAAGGAGAGGGAGGGAGGGAGAGAGGGAGGGAGGGAAACACATACACAGAGAGAGAGAGAGAGAGAGAGAGAGAGAGAGAGAGAGAGAGAGAGAGAGAGAGAGAGAGAGAGAGAGAGAATGTGTGTTCTGTGTGTTTCCACTAATAGAATCCTGTCTGGTACACCTCCAAAACTTTAGTTATGCTTAAAATGTGTCAGAGTAACTGAACTCTTCATTCGTGCCTTGTGTTTTCTTGCTTCTCTGATGACTATCTTGTCCCTCCGGGTCCCCGATGCATCAGTGTAAATTGTGGTCAGTCCCAGATCTTAAGGAAAGGCCAGAGCAGAAGTTTTCCAGTGAAAGGGGATTCCTTACCACGGTGTCTGGGCCCTCCTCACCTCGAGGTTTCAGAATGTGGCACAAAAGCCAGGTTTTGAACAAACAGTGATAGTAGTGTTCACTGCTCTGTGGGAGTTTTTAGGACTCTTCTAACCCCCTGGGACTGTCCTTTGTACACATGTCTTGAGAATTTTGCTGCAAGATGGAGGAAGTGCCGATAGCTATCTGATAAGGATTAAACGGGGTTGGCATCGGGTTCCATGTCCCAGCCAGCGAGCGTGCTGGGCTGCGTCGGGTTCCATGTCCCAGCCAGCGTGCTGGGCTCCATCTAGGTTCCAGGAGTCAGCATTTGTTTCTACCCCTCCCGCCCCCACGGATATCTGTTATACATACTGCCATTCATGTTATTATATAGTTGGGGTGGAAATGAGCTCAGGAGCAAACCTGAGGACCAGTGTGCCCCGAGGGCGAAGCCTGTAGCTCGGCATGCAGGGCAGCGTCCGGGAGAAGTGCGCACGGCTGCCTTGGCCGTGTGAAATCTCAGTCAGGGAGAAGTGCGCACGGCTGCCTCGGCCGTGTGAAATCTCAGTCCGGAAGGCTCAGGAAATACCCACGGCCATTTTCTTCCTCTAGATTAACTTCTAGGTAAAAACACAAGTGTGAGGATTCCCCTTGAAAATTCCACACAGGGCAGAAAGAAATGCAGAAGTGAAGATAATACAACATTCTTCCTTTTATGTCTGTCCTATGGGGAAAGGAATGAGGAAAGTAGATTTCTTTCCTCCAGACGACACCAGAAAGAAAAGCAAGCTGCTGGGTATTGGTAGGGTAGTTGCCAGGCACATGTGAGACCCAGGTTCCTTCCATTTCCAGCAAAAAGGTGAAAACAAACAAACAAAGAAAAACGAAAAAAAAAAAACCTGAAAACCCTAATTTGGGTAACTCGTTGTTTAAGTGTTTTGAAATTCTTTAAAGTCAGCTCTAAAAATACTAAATCCAATTGTAGATGAGTCAGATAGCATTGCAAGCGTATGGTGGTTTCAGTATTTGTATCAGTCATAGTTTGAGGTGAAAGTGAAAACTTTAGGCATTTTGGAATGCTGAGCTGCAACTCTAGGTTGAAGGAGGGTCTTCAGGCCACCCACTGGCATAACTGGATGCTGGCATGTAGAAGAATGCAGATAGATCCATGTCTATTGCCATGCACAAAACTTAAGTCCAAATGGATCAAAGACCTCAACATAAATCCAGCCACACTGAACCTCTTAGAAGAGAAAGTGGGTGGTACCCTTGAACGAATTGGTACAGGAGACAGCTTCCTGAACATAACACCAGTAGCACAAACAGTGAGGTCAACAATTAATAAATGGGACCTCCTGAAACTGAGAAGCTTCTGTAAGGCAAAGGACACAGTCAGCAAGACAAAAAGGCAACCCCCAGAGTGGGAAAAAATATTCACAAACCCCACATCTGACAGAGGGCTGATCTCCAAAATTTACAAAGAACTCAAGAAGCAAGTCTCCAAAACACCAAAGGATCCAATTAAAAAGTGGGCTACAAACTAAATAGAGAATTCTCAATAGAGGAGTCTAAAATGGCTGAGAGGCACTTGAGAAAGTGCTCAACATCCTTAGCCATCCGGGAAACGCAAATCTCACTACATTGGAGGCTCCAAAGAGTTCAGGAACCAGCCCCCTACCTCCCACCCTCCACCCCGATTCAGGCAGGCTAGGAGAGCAAGAGTTTGCAAGGCAGGCAGAAGCAGCTGGGAAGGACAGTTTCACACTGGATGATCTTCTAGATGGTTCTGGACATTACCATGGACTTTCTGTGGATTCATGCCTTTGTGGATGCCCTGCCACCTCACAGCTTTATTTTGAAGAGTGGAAGGAAGCAACACTTGTCAGCATTTTGGTGAACTGCTCTTCTGTGCAGTCCAAATAAACACTTGGCAGGGTGGTTAGCGGTAACAAGAGACACAGTGCGACTCCACAGTGCCCTCCCAGATCAGCAGAGGTTTGCATTCGTTGTAGCACCCTGTCCTTGGAAGGCGATGAGTCGTGGAAGCTCCTGTACGCTGTGCTGGTGCCTGAGGCAATGAGCATGGGTGTGGTGCTGGGGAGCAACAGAGCACTGCCTGATAAAGCAGAAGATGGAGCATGGTCCCAGCAGTTGTGCTTAGACATAGGCGGGGGCTGTGTTCCAGAATATTCTCTGTCACTTTGTACAGAGATGCCCACTTTGTACATGAGAATCAGCAAGGATGGGCAAACTACAGACACATGTAGAACAGGTACATGTTTACTTTCATTTTTGTGGTGGTGGGGATAAAACCCAGGACTTGCACGTGTTAGGAAGGTGAACCTCACCCCCATCCCTGTGTATATCTTAAAAAACATGATATTGGCCGGGTGGTGGTGGCACATGCCTTTAATCCCAGCACTTGGGAGACAGAGGCAGGCGGACTTCTGTGAGTTTGAGACCAGCCTGGTCTACAAGAGCTAGTTCCAGGACAGGCTCCAAAGCTACACAGAGAAACACTGTCTCAAAAATCAAACACATAAAAAAAAACCAAAACCAAAAAAAAAAAACCCAACAAAAACAAAAAATGTGATGTTGAGAAACAGAATCAAGTCACATGAGAATACATACTATGTATCTGCTTGATTAGAAGTATGCAAAAAGCAAGCTATGTTGCTAAGGGTCATAAACAGAGGGCCTGTCAAAAGCCATGACATGGTCATTACAGAAAGTTGGTGTCTGTCTTTAGGAAGGTAGAGCTGACTCCAGATCCTTGCTTTATCACATTTTTCCATACTGTGTGTGCATCTTGAGCACACACAGTCTTTCTATACTCATGTATATGTGCAACAGCTCAATGGACACTGGTTCTTTGAAGTTGAGTTGCTTAGTCAGACATGACTTATCCTTGCCGTTCCAGGGTGGTGGGCTCCGTCTTCGTCTTGATTCTGCATCTTTATCCTTTCCCTCAATAGAGCTGGGGATCCCAGACTCCCTGTGTCCCTTCCTTTCACTGGGACACAGTAGCAGAGGTGGTGGGGTTCATTGGGATACAGTAGCAGAGGTGGTGGGGTTCATTGGGATACAGTAGCAGAGGTGGTGGGGTATTGCAAATCCGCTTCCCAACTGCTCTACCTCTTCCTACCTTTGGAGTCTGGGAAGTGGAAAGTGCCCACTGACCAGGCCAGCAGGGGGTTCTTCAGCCTCTGATGCCCAAATCCCAGGGGCATCTGGAGGACAAAGTGGTTCTCCCAGTGGGGACCATGATGACCTCTCGGATTCTTCCTTCCGGCTGACAAGGCTTGTCCTCTTCAGAAAGATGTCAGATAGCCATTTCAGGGAAAGATCTAAAACCCAGACTGAGGTGACATGGCTGGTGGATTGCTTGCCTGAGCTTGTCACTGGGAGCAAGGTGTACAGGGTGACAGTGTATGGATGTATCTCTGTATGGGAACTGTGTCTTCCGGCTGAGGACTGATGGGGCCTCCCAGGACTGCTTATAGGAGAGGCAGCACTATTAGTGGCCTTACAAATATCAAGCCTGTAGGGTCCTCTCTGAAAAAAAAAATACTGCTCAGGAAAGAGTCCCTGAGTATCAGGTTCCTCAGGCATGCTGCCAGCCTAGCCAGCAGGAGTTTGGGGGAAATGTTTCTCTTCCCTCCTATCTGCCCTCCAGAGATTTGAGATGTTCAGGGTACAGAGGTCCTCAGCAGGGAGTGAACCTGCAGTGTTGAAGCCTCATACCCGAAGCCATGCACACAGATTGGCTGGCTTTCTAAGTATGGCACATAACAACTTTCCTCTTGTTTGGCAATTCAGATTTGCAGAAACTTCTAGGGCCCCACCTCAGCAAACAAACCCATCCTAAGTCATGTTTTATCAAAGAATGGCCTTTCCCACAAACTCATTAAACAAGGCCGGACTTGCAGGCAGGTGAAGCCTGCATGCACTCCCCACTCTTTGGGGGGTGTTTGAATGCATTCCCACCTTGTGATCAAAAATATCCAGAAAAAGCCCCTGGGTCTGCTTTGTCTTCGCTGTCTCCAAAGCTGCAAGTGACATGTGGTGTTGGTGAAGAGGCAAAGGGTACAGATTGATTGCAGGTCTCAGTATTTGTGCTTTTCAGGACCCACACATACAGGAGAGCTTGGTTGTACAAAATTCCATTAAACTATTACAGTGCATTGGCAAGTGGTTTTTTTGTGTGTGGGTGGGAGGAGATACTGCCTACAAGAACTTAGGACAAGCAATGTTAACAAAATTCCTTTCCAAGGAATTCAACTGTATGTTACCACCTTCTCCCCATGTAGGAAGGAATAGTGTCTCCTAACGACCTGGACCTGGTCATGTCAGATGGGCTGGGCATGCGGTATGCATTCATTGGACCCTTGGAGACTATGCACCTCAATGCTGAAGGTATGCCTGGGACAGAGATGGGGCTCTGCAGTGTGGAGTATTTCTCTGAGCTTTCTTATCTGCTGGCCTGCGCCATTTCTTTTTCAGCAGTGTGGTAATGGTAGTATCTAGAAGGACTCTGATCAACCCTAGTAACTCAGAAAGGGCTGAGGCACAGAGCACTGTGGAATGACATGAAGTCCACATGGGCTCTGCGAAGCTCAGGGCTCTGGACCACGAGGGGTCCAAAAAGGACAAAAGGGAAGAGTTGTGATGAGGACCTTGGTGGAAGAGAGATTGTAGCTTCTGTGAGGGTTGAAATGAGTTACAGAAGCAAGAGGGAGAGCGAAGACAAGAGACGGTAGTGCCAGCAGTCCCCAGGGATGCTTCTGGAGTTATCTTCTGCCCACACTCGAGTGCCTGTGGGTGTGTTTCTGCAGAGTGCTGGGATGGCCTCCCAGCAGTCACAAGGCGGGTGCTTTACACGAGAGGCCTGGCAAGGTGGGACAAGCCGGACAACTGTCTGGAAGCCGGCTTCAGAGGCTCGGGAAACCTGGTAGTTCCAAAGAAAGGTAACTGGAAAGGACAAGAGTGAAGGAGATTTCAAAGGACCCAAAGACGACCAACTGGTGAAACCAATACCAAATTAAAACACACCAGTGCAGTGATGTACCAAATTAAAACACACCAATGCAGTGATGTACCAAAATCTGAAAAGATGCTACCTGCACGTTAGCTATCTTTTGGTATTAAAATTAATAGTAACTTTCTTTTTTCTCCTGGGTGAAGTCTCACTCCATAGCCCTGGCTAGCCACAGATGCTTGACTCTCACGCTGCATGCTGGGATCATAGGCGTTAGTTAGCCTTATCAGGCACAGTAGGAAATGGTGCTTATGGCTTTTGCTTTTCCTTGTTTTCTTTTGTGTTGCTGGGGATCAAATATAGAGCCTTCTACATGCTAGACAAGCACTCCTTTGCTGAACCTCAAGTAATATTTATTCTTTTCTTACTGCTCTGTTGCTCTAAACTTATAGAATTTCTGTATGTTACTTTAATGGAATCCTCATTAAGTGGTAAAGGAGACATAGAGAAAAGGATGTTACCTGTAGGTCAAGGCTATATTTCACAAGAGATATTGAGGAAAGAGATTTCCTGGGGAGGAGGGAGAAGACAGGGTTCCATTCCAATTCCAGCTTTCCTGATACTTAGTATGTAGCCCAAGCTGGTCTCAAACATCAAGTAATCCCCCTGCCTCAGCTTCCTCAGTGTTGGGATTGCAAGAGTGCATCACCATACCTAGTTTTTTGAGTGGGCAGAACCAGAACAGAAGACTGGAAATGGCAGGCAGACTGGTTTGTGTAGTATGTGACTGATGTGACAGAGAGAACTTTCTAGTAACTGTTGCTAGTGACCCGGGGAGAGAGGGCTCACACCCTGGGTGAACTACAGGGCCATGGGCAGATGTTGAGAGGAAATTCCTGTCCTGTGGTGGGTTGGAGCCTTTCAGATCTGACTTTTGTCCTTTGATCCTATGATATTTTAGTTAATGAGCTGTACTTCCCGAACAACATTCAAGGCAGTTCTCCCAGACCCAGCATTACATAATGCAAATGAATATATGATTTGAGGAGGGGACCCACTACACAAGCCTTGCGATAATAGTGTAATGACTGAGTCTTCCTTGAAAGGCAAGCCTTGCTAAGAGCAGCTGAAGGAAGAGAGGACTCTCCCATGTTTTGTGTGGGAGGTAACTTTGAACCTGAGAAGAAAATACCAAGAAGACGCCTTTATACAAGTGAAATAAGAGTTTTGAAGCATCATCGGAATGGCCTTAGATCATTTCAGGTGCCTTTTCAGCCAGCTCTTGTGAGTGAGGCATAGGCAAGCATTTGAAATGGGCATGGACACTGTCTGATAACCACCACATTTCTCCTTTCTTGAGAGAACTAAGACAGTTCAGGTATTGTGCGAAACCGATAGGAGGGATCTGAGAACAGCCTTGAATCTCAAACAAATAGAAACAGAAGCCAGTGACACCAGACACTCAAGATCAGGGGGGGTGGCAGACAGGAAGGAGGCCACAACAATTTTTCAAACAAAACCGATACGATAAGAAAGCTTAATTGGTTTAACATGATAATAGGGGTCGGATGTAGTTTTCAACTTCTGAGCATTCCAAAGCCCAGAGCTAGACAGTTATAAGATCTGGCTGGGAGTCAACGGCCCTTATTCTTCTGGTGTCACCCAGAATATATCAGGGTTGGAGTCAGGAGGACGTTTCCTGGTTTTGCTGAAGTGGTTTTCATAAATCTTGAACTTACAGGAGTTTTTGGTCTTATAAGCTACCCATCCCCCCCCCCGCCCCGACCTAAATTGAGTGCAGATACTTTAGGTTTCTTGATTTACTTTTAAAGATTGGGGATAATTTGATTCGAGTTGGAGAGAGAACACCAGGCAGAGGAGCTGTAAATGTCAGCCTCCATGGTGATGAGGGCATGAGGAGGAGGAAGAGGAGGGGGAGGAGGAGGAGGGCCTTGCCTTTTGAGTTTGCTCTGGGAAAGCAGGCAGCCTCTGCAGTGGAGGCTGGAAGCATGGAGGAGGTGGATGAACACTCAGAGAATTCCCAGAGTTCCAGGGAAAGTGTTGACAGGCTTTGGCTAGTATCTGAAAGAAAAAAGAAAAGAAGAAAAGTTACAGTTTGCTGAGAAACTCAGAGACTTGGGAAGGCCTGTGGCAGAGGTGCTTCGAGAAGCTGTTTAGGGGAAGGGAAAAATTTTTTAAAAAGAGATTCTAATTAGGGAAACAGTAGGGTAGAAGTTTGCCTCTTGTCGACTTTTTTTTCCTTTTTTTTTTTTTTTTTTTGGTTTTTTGAGACAGGGTTTCTCTATATTGTTTTGGAGGCTGTCCTGGAATTCACTATGTAGACCAGGCTAGCCTCGAACTCACAGAGATCCACCTGCCTCTGCCTCCCAAGTGCTGGGATTAAATGCGTGCATCACCAACGCCTAGCTTCTTGTCAACTTTTTAAGAGCAGCCTTTGTGAAGCATGTGCTCTCAGAATAGAGGTTTTGGCCAGTAGGACAGCTAGATCCCCACCCTAGCTTTCCCATCTGTTAGCTGTATAAGCTGAGATCAGCCTTGTGGTTAAGGGCACCTTGGTTTTCCCATCTGTTCAGTGGGGAGAACGACCACTTGCTGGCGGTGGGGTGCAACACAGAGACCACACTCAGGTACAAGGAAACCCATGGAAGGTAAAGAAGGGATTTGGCAGGCCCAAGAGAGGCAAACACGGGCCTGAGCATGGCAAACCCAAGTATGATAAACATGGTGCCCATAGGTTTTGCCTTTTACCTTGCTCCTCCTCCCCCTTTGTTTTTCATGACAGGGTTTTTCTGTATTGCTTTGGAGGCTGTTCTGGAACTGGCTCTGTAGTCCAGGCTGGGCTCGAACTCACAGAGATCCACCTGCCTCTGCCTCCCGAGTGCTGGGATTAAAGGCGAGCGCCACCACCACCTGGCTTCCTCCTCCTCCTCCTCCCTAAAAACCACTAGATTACATACCTAAAGCTAGCCCCCAAGGTCCATTCCCTTAATTTGGCCACTGACTTATTCCTGAGACAAAATACCAAGGTCCAGTGATCAAAATTCATTATTTAGCTAGCATGTCCAATCAGGATTTACTAGCTCACCCAAGTACAGACTCCCCATTTTCTCCTTAAAAAACCTACTCCTGCAAAAACCAAGCAAACAAACAAAACAACAGCAAAAAACTCCACTTACTTGCTTGCTTAATAAATGATCTTTTGCTTAATTTATCTTTGGGTGTTGGCGCATGAAACCCAGAGCCCAGTGCCATGCTAGACTGAGCTACATATCCACCGTTTAAATGTTATCTTTATTTAGCCTGTTGTGTTTAATTTATTTCTCTTCCAGGGTTTTTGTTTGTGTTTAGTTTTCTTAATTCTCCCCCAAAGATTCACCCAGGCCTGGGGAGACATACCGAGTGAACACAGATGAGGCTGCCTTTTGACTGCAGGGCAGAGGAAGCCCTAGAAGCAGGCCTGGGTTCTCAGCTGAGAACGTGGGTCCTGCCCTGTCCCTGGCAGCTCTTTGGACTTTGTGTTTTGCTGTCTCTGTGGAGGGACAACATCTCAGAGCCTGGAAACCCCAGATCCCTCTGGGTGAATTGGTTGGTTACCAGCTTCTTGTGTTGTAGATACTCACCTGGATTTTGAGCAGGAAGCCTGCTGGAGGTCTTGTCTGTCTATGTTGAGCCATCGTGACTCGTGGGAGCAGCTGAGCTAAAGACAAGGCCTGGTGCTGGAGTGGACCCAGCTGCCTGGACAGCTCTGTCCTTAGAGGACATCCAATATTGTCATTCCGTTTTTGGGCACTTCTGACCTGTTTTCATAAAGTCTGTGAAACTCTGATAAGTCAGATGAATCCATGTAGGTGTGGGTTCATGAACTGGGTCAAAACTAGACCTTAGGTTTTGGTTACAATAAGGTTCTTCAAGAAAACTGACACCCAGTGTTGGGGGTGGGTGGGTGTCCATCAGGTATGGGTGGCCAGCCAAAGATGGCGTGTCTCACCCCATGTATTCGACAGGCAGGGTTTCCTGTTGGTGGAATGTTAGTTAGGGTTCAGGGAGCCCCCTGCTTTATTCTGAGGGGCTCACAGAGAGAGAACTGGGAGTCAGCAAGATAAGCTAACTCTATTTTTTTTGGGAATCAGCTCCTCTCTGTGTTTTCACTGTCCATACAAGCATCTCCTAAGAAATTAAGTTCATGGCCAGGGAGTTGAGAGCAGCAGTTAAGAGCCCTGGCTGCTATTCCAGAGGATTGGAGCGTCACTCCCTGTACCCACATGGAGTCTCACAACCACAGCACAGACACACATGCAGCAAAAAACACCTACATACATGAAATAAGAACAAATACATCTTTTAAAAACATGAAGTTTAACTTCTGCAGAGCCAAACTTTCCAAGGGCTGTGGAAGAGCCATTCCTAATACCCTCTTCCAAACCCACATGCACCAAGGATGCACATGGTGCATATATATACATACAGGCAGGCAAAACATTCACACACATAAAATGAAAATATAAATAAATCTACAAAAAGAGGAAGAAATGTCCCTTTGAATTTTCAGGAATTTTATAGAAGGCAGTAGAGAAAGTTCTAGAAAGTCTCTGTGAGAGTGGAATGATTTCAGGATAGTGGAAGTTGAACATTTGTTGAGGGAATATAAAGTAACACAGAGATAAAGGATGATCGGTGTATCAAATCCCTCCAGGCTGCTGCTTACATTGTCTGGGGAGATGGAGCTGGCTCTTGAGAGGGGCTAGGGCTCCATTTTCACTATAAGCTGGTTAAACATGCAGCCACGTTAAGTTTCTAACTTTCTCCTGTGATGCTTTGGGTTTAAGTCTCCCAGACACTCTGTGTGGAATGCTTGGTGACCAGCTCCTGGTGTTATTCGGGAAGTGGTTTGGGATCTTTAAGAGGCAGGATCCTGAGCCATTGAGATGGTTCAGGGGTAAAGGGCTCTGCCACCAAGCCTGAGGACCTGAATTTGACTCTCAGAACCCACATAGTAGAAGGAGAGAACCAGCTCCCACAGCTGTTCTCTGACCTACACACGGTTTGACACACGCAAGCATACGTGTCATAAATTTGTTTTAAAAGGGGCAGGGTTCATTTAGAAACAAGTTAGACCACTGGGGGTGTGCCCTGGAATGGGATATTGGGAGGCTGGCCTCTTCCGGTGTGTATCCTGGTCATCATGAGGTGAGCAGTTTTTCTGCATCATGTCTTCCACACCATGGGGTTCTGCTTGCCACCGGCCCAAAGCAATGGGGAGATCCATCAGCTTGGCTGAGCTGGGGCAGCGCAGCTTAGAGGGCTGGCGGCTAAGGCAGGTCTGGCTCCAGCACGCCGATGGCTGTGCAAGTGAGTGGTGAGCACTGTCCTGATGCAGCTCACCGCGTCCCCACACTCGATTAGCCTAGGAATTTTGTCATAATGACGGAAGCTGACTAACTTGTCATCAGTTAACATATTTCAAATATATTCCGTCCTGTGTCTCTTGCTCCTAACTCCAAATGAGTACATTGCAGTTGTGTGTAGATTTTATTATTGTTAGTGCAAATGAATAAACAGATAGGAAAAGTGGACAAAATGCTTAATTTCTTAAGGGAAAGACATTTACCTGGTTTTCTGGTCCCTGGCAATCCTAAGCCAACAGGAGCTTGCAGAGGTCTAACCTGCTGAGAGCTAACATGTATGCAGTGAGATCGATCGCTCTTTTAAAACCAGCCAATGGTTAACTGCAGGTGCTAATGACAGAAATGCTGGTCGGCTTTAATAGTTTACCCTTCAAAATGATTTCTCAGGATGGGTGTGGAAGGTGCACACCTGTCATCCCAGTATTTGGGAAGTAAAAGTAGGAGGGGCTGTTCAAAGTCAGCCTTGGCTACAAGGTGATTTTGGGGCCAGCCTGAGCTACATGAGACTCAGTCTGAACACACACACACTCTTTGGCCTTTGTCTTCATGGGGTAGATGAACAAGCGTTGGGGGCTGTGCAAATTCTGCAATTCTTTTTGTGTGACCCACTGCTGAGGGTTTCGAACTCTGGGAGACTGAATATGGGCCTGGGGGCTCTCCCAGTGGTAGAACTCATGTCCAGTACCACAAAAGGGAAAAAAAATGGACCAGAGTCAGCACAGCCAGGACATGTGGACATGTTGGCCTCTGGGATCCAGGCCTGGCTTCTGACTTGTCTCTAACCTGTGCCTCCTCTTGCAGCCCCTCGGCTCAGCATATAGAGGAAGAGGAGGGAGCTGAGTGTCCGGGGCAGGTGGCTATACTTCAGAAAGGTGCCCAGGATACACACAGGCTTGTGCTTACTCTGTAGCTCACCTGGGTTCCATGTCTATTTAATCTTGGCGTCAGCCCACACAGCCCTGCGCTGCTTGTACGGACTGTGTGCCTCCTCTTCCTCCTCCTCCTCCTCCTCCTCCTCCTCCTCCCTAATTTCTCCACCAAAACCCTGCAGTAGGGAAACTGACCAGCGGGCTGGGCGGGGACAGCCTGTGCACAGGGGTTCAGGCAGGCCTGTCTCCAGCCCTCGTTATGGAAGTGTAGCAAGTGGTGAATGCAACCCCGGTCCAGGTCTCACCGCTCATAAATACCAGATAAGGCATAACCTGACCTTGAGACTTAAGCATGTGATAAGGAGGGAGTGACTTGAGTTTTGACATCGGGGTGCATGGAGAATGAATTGAAGCCATTCATGGTGATTCATGCCTCTATGCCAGCACTTGGGAGGCTGCGGCAAGAGGATTACCGTGAGCTTAAGGCTACAGTGGGCCACAGAGTGAAACTCTGTCTCTGAAAAGGAGGGTGGGGGAAGGAGGGGAGCCTGAAGATGTACTTATTTAGCATCCATAGAACCTTTGATTCCATCCCCAACTCCACCGAAAGCACGAGTGGTGGCACATGCCTGTAATCCCAGCACTTGAATAGTGGGCATGGGACCAGACATTCCAAGTCATCTATGTAGCCTGGGCTACATGAGCTCTTGTGTCAGAAAGAAAGACAAGGGGTGGGAGGCAAAAGGAAAGAGAAAACGAAGAGAAAAATGCACTGAAGCTCAGCACAGACCCTTAGCAGTACCTAGGTGAAAGAGGTGCTTTGTGCATGTCAGAGTGTGAGCGCCACTGACCGAGGACCCCGAGATGCACTGGTGTGGGGCACATGGCAGGCCTGAGGGGCTCCCCTTCTGGGGAGGGTCTTGCTTGCCAAGGTCAGCAGGTGGCTCATCTCCTGCCTCTTCTGTGTAGATTCCCTCTCCACAGGGCAGAAGCTTCTGCGTAGATCTGTTTAGACTTACAGAATGTTGATGCTAGTGTGTGGGTTCCTGTTTTCATGCCATTTCAGGTATGGTAAGCTACTGTGGCAGGTACAGTGATGGAATGAAGCGTGTCCTCAAGACTTTTGGACCTGTTCCAGAGTTCTCAGGGGCCACAGTGGAGAAAGTTAACCAGGTATGTGGACTCCCCAGGGGCATGCAAGCTGGCACACACTGGCCATCTCCCTCCCGTGCCACCTGTGGGTGGGGCTTTGTCCACCTGTGGGTGGGGCTTTGTCAGTAGCTGCAGTCTTGACCCTTGGTTCTGATGGTTACTCCTTCCTGACTGTGCAGTTTCATCCTGGCCCTCAGGATCCTTAAGGGTCAGGTGATGGTGACCAGCATCTCATTTTTACTTGTCTTGGGGGATGCTGGAGATCTGGAGCTTGTGTTAACTAACTGTGGGGTTTGTGCTTCTGTGTCTTTGGAAGTGGTGTACACACAGCTGGCATAAACAGGAAAGACAGTTACCCTCATGGCAGATTATTTTTCTGCATGTGTTCTCTGTTTTTCCTCCCCTTTCCTTCTCTCAGGACATGTGTATGAAGGTTCCTGATGATCCAGAACACTTAGCTGCCAGAAGGCAATGGAGGGACGACTGTCTCATGAAACTCGCCAAACTGAAGCACCAGGTGCAGCCCCAGTAAATTTCTTGTAATGCCACCATCACTCCTTTCTGGGAAGCTCTGTCTGGCGAGATGAGAAGCTCTTGATCCAATCCCTATGCAGCATCGGGAAGCCCAGGAAGCCGGCCTGAAGACCAGGTTTGCTCCCCGGTATTCCACTGCGAGCAGCTGTAGACACCAAGTGTCTTCAGGTCTCTCCTGCCTAAGCCTGCATTGGGCTATCAGAGCACTGCTTGGGCTCTGAGGCATCGTGCATTTCCAGGTGATAATTGCAGTTTCCTGTTATCTTAATCTACTACAAAAGAATTTTTGTAATCATTTTCTCACCCCCTGAGTGCCCTGTGACCCTGCATTATGAAGCAATCACCTTTATCTTGAATGAATAATATTCTGAATAAAAGTCTTGATTCCATGAGGGCAGTCAATTTCTACACACACACACACACACATACACACACACACACACACACACACACACACACATAAACAAATGTGCAAATGGTCCCCCAGTTTGGGCCAGTACCTTCCCAAGCTAGTTTAGTTGTGCCCTGTAGTCTTCTGGTCAGATATGTTTAAGGAGCATGTGGACTGCACTAAATGAGTGGTGTAGAGTTCACCAGGCAAGACATCAGCTCTAACAGTCATTTCTAGAACCTCTTTCAACCTGAAGTCTGTTGCTGGCACAAGCTTCCAGAGCGCTCTGAGGACACCAAGGCGTGCATCTCTCCGCAGCAACTCTGATCGCTGGCCACCATTACCCGGCTCCTCAACAGCGCTGGCAAGGCACTGGCCTTGCAGTTTTGGGTGGTGGGAGTCTTAGTGTCATGAGGTAGGGAGCTGCATTTCCTCAGGGTGGAGGCAATTGTGGTGTGGGAAGCTGTGACTTTGACTAGATCATTTTTCTCTAGCTTGTGAGTCTTAATCAGCACACACCCCCATGTTCTCAGCCCACACTGAATGGCTGAAGATCTGAAAGTGACCATGCAGCAGGCTCCATGTCCCAAGACCTCATACACATGTTGGAGCATGATAACACTGAGAGGCTCTGCGAGGGAAGCTTCAAGGAGGTGGGCTGTGATAATGCGGAATACTAAGCTACACAAAATAGGGATGTCCTGCGATATTTTATTGAGGGAGAAATCACTTACGTGATTTACTGTATGTCTAAATTATATTTTCCTACTTTCATTGTCATGTCTTCCTGGGTGAATGTCAGGAATGACTGGAAATGTCTACAGGTTCAGAATCTAAGGAATTCAGCCAAATGGGGATCAAAATATTTGGAAAAGGATTCTAGAAAGTTCCGAAAAGCAACATGTACAATCGTTTTCCCTTACATTGTCATAGCTACCGGGTGTGACAGCCATTTCCACAGCAGTTACATTGTATTAGTTATTATTAATCACCTAGGGATGGCTTATAGCATGCAGAAGGATGTGTGTGGGTTCTCTGCAAATATGGGGCCATTTTGTATAGGGGACTTGAACACCTGTGAATTTTGGTACCCACAGGAATCCTGGAATCAATCCTATGGCTACTTAGGAAGGACCTAAGGTGGTAGCAGAAAGGTTTCATGGTCTTGTAGCCAACACAACACATGATGAGAAACTGATATGGTATACAAATGCTGACCCTTATCTAAGAGCTGGAAATAGCAATTAGTTCAGTGTTGAGAACAAAGAGTAGGGAGCATAGACCCAGCTTAAGGAAGATGGTTCTGGAAGCAGCTGGCCAGGGTCAGGATTTGGTTAGACATGGAGCAGGGGCGATTGTGAGCCCAGGTTCACGTGTCTGTTAGAGGAGCTGTCACACTGGGAGAGCATTCTGCTTGGCCAGCTGCGGTCAGCTGTGAAAGAGCCTGGTTGTTCTGATGGGTCAGTGGATGCATCCTTCTTACAGTTTTTCCTCCAGGTGGGCTGTTAGGTCCAAAGCTGCAAAGGAGAGGACGCCACTTTGCACATCATTTCCCGCCTGCCCAGCCTCCTCTGTCTGGCTTTGTGCCTCACATCCTTGACATTTCTGAAGGATCCCAGTCTGCATCTATCTGGTGTTTTCTTAGGAGTAGACTGAGATCTGGTTTGGGATTAGACAAGTGTTCCCCTTGTCATGTCATCACATGTAATGACCACGTAATACTGCTGGGTCTTCACTGATGTATTTTTCCATTCCAAATTACTATTATAAAAAAAATCAGGGAGTTAATTAGAAGGACCTGCCCAATAAGACATCATCCTGACTAGTTTCTGAATCATTTCCCTGGTGTTGCAAAGTCATAAATCTCCATCAGTATGACAAATGTCCTCAATTCCTCATTTTCTGCTCCTTGAGCCCAGTGTCTTTTCCAAGGCACACATAGTGTCATGCATATGACTCCATGTGATTACCCTTTTAGGGATGTTATCAGTGCGGTGCCTATAATTACTGCTCAGCTCTTACCTGAGGTTCAAAAAATTACTATAACTGTTTTGAGACTGGGTGAGAGCCTAAGCTGACCTTAAACTCTGGATCCTCCTGCCTCAGCCTCCAAGAACATCGATTATAGGTGTTATTACCATGCCCTGCTTTTCTGTATCCACTCTAAGAGTCACATATCTGTAATCCCAGCACTGAGATAGGATTGCAGAGCTGAGAGAACAACTCTGTTGAATGAGTGTCAAGGACCTTGAAGACTCCCTCTGTATGCTCAGACAGGCTCAGGCAACCTGCCGTAAATGGGAGCAGCCCTCCTGTGTTGTGGTCGCCTTCACCACTAGGCTAGTTTTTGGCCCGGCCTTGCTTTGTACCCTGTGTTTAAGGGTGGCTGCATTGTTCTGTCACACACATGGATGGAGCTAGTGGCTTTGCATCCAGCCTAGGTGTAGCCACACGAATGTCTGAGACTGTCATGTTAGCCATCACAATTTGTTAGAAGTCTATTAATTTTTAGTGGATTCACTTAACAGTTATTGAATATCGGTCATGTCAATACCTACTGCAAATGTTGAAGACAGAACAAAGAGTACAGCAGGCAAAAAAGAAGGAAAACTCTATCCATATAGACCTTACATTGTAGTACACAATATAAACATAAACCAGAGAAGTCACTCAGCAAAGCAGACAGTATGTCTAAAGACTCTGTGGACAGAAGCAATGGCTCAGCAGGTATAGGCACTTGCTGCCAAGCCTGACAGCCTGACTTCGATCCCAGGGACCCATGAGGTGGAGGGAGGGAACTGATTCCCACACACTTGTGTCTGACCTCCACCTGCACACTGTGTTCTGTGGGTGAACACACACCCAGAAGAAAAGAGAGTGAAGGGGGGAGGGATGAGTTGTGTCTGTAGAGCAGGTGCGGTTGGCGTGGCGGCTTCCCATAGCCAGCCTCTCTGGTGTACCTGGAAGGTGCGCCTCGGGTGGAGTGGCTGCATCACCGCTTTGCCTTCATCTCGTGTCTCTCTCTGAGAGGAACCTCAGGTTCAAGGGGCACCTGAGTAAGCCTCACCTTAGTCTCCAAGCAGTGTGGACATCCAGTGTGTTCCCTCCTAGTCTAGCCAGCCTCTAGAATTTAGCGGTTGTGGCTTGGGATGAAACGAGGGTTCCAGTTGGTTGGATTTAGCATTTGGCTGGCTTGGTTTTGTTTTACACAGGTCCCCTCCTGTTTCCACTTCCAAATGCAGAGTTCCAGGCAGTACTCCCCCATGAAGTTTTCATGTTCTCTTTAGAGTTTTCTCTGTACTTGTTTTGTGTTATAACCCCTACTTAAAACACACACACACACACACACACACACACACACACACACCACTGAAACTTTTGAGAGCATCTTGTATGTAAATAAGTTACAAAGCAGCATCCCGAGGGTATAGACACACACAATAAAAATGGCCTCCAAATATAGGCACCAGTTACAGACACACTCAATAAAGATTGTCTCCAAATGTAGGTGACAGCATGGAGTGTCAGAGGGGAGTCTGAGAAAGACCTGCTGGCCCAAACACTCTAGCATGTTCCCTCTCCTTTGTGTTCCTGGCACTGAGACCGGTCCACCAGTGGCATCCAGCAGTGCTCACTGGTGTTTGAGCATGAGGAGGTGAGCAGGATTCCTGTGAAGGGCACGAGGCACACCTTTGGGCATGGTGGGCACAGCTGGAGCCACCCCTACAGGACGTGAGGGACTCCATCTGCACAGGACAAGTGTAGCTCATGTGGAACGGTGCTTTCTCAGGTGGTAAAAACTGGTAACACTAGAACTTCTTGGGAGAAAGGGAATTTTCCAGATAAAGGAGACCTGGGTCAATCTCTAGAGAATTGTGAGGCCTTGATCTGTCAACTGAGACTAACAGGCTGTTAGTTCACACTTGGAGATTTTCATAAAAAAGAAAAAGAAAAACAGAAACGCTTGAGAGGTGGGGTCCCACTCAGGATCTTGCTAACGTTTGCTGACTCAGCACTGCCGTCTGGATACCATCACAAACACCCTCATCACTGTCACCGTCACCTCTGCTAGCACCACAAGCACAGTCTACACACCACCCACCACCATCATCCTCACCATCAGCACCACCCTCCCCATCACCATCTCAGTATCGTTAGTACCATCACCACCGTCCCCATTCATTCTAGTTCACCTTCTGGAAGCTTACTGTGTTCTGGGCCAGTGTTTTACAGCAGCATCCACAGATGGAACAGGAGGGTGCAGGCAGAGAGGGGAGGTTCAGTTAGGAAGAAAATACGCTTTAATGCCTGGGGAAGATGAAATTTGCAGGCCCTTCTCCAAGGTCATGAAAGCAGTAAGTGAGGGCCCAGCTGTGGCGAGATTCTTGGGCCTGTTGAGCTGCCGGCAGGTCATGCAGAAAAATCCAGGGATGCAGTTTTCACGAGACATCGCCCATGTTGGGTGGGCCTTTGGGTGATGCAGCTGCTGTTGAGCCATCCCTCACCCCTCACCCCTCACCCCTCACCCTCGCCCTTACTCCTGCTAGTGACTGCAATTAAAAACTTGGGCTTCACCAGGTTGGGCTTTGGTGCAGTCATTACTTTGGTCTGTAGTGGGCTCCCTTTCTGGGCTGAAAAGACATGCATATTGCAGTTCTTTCAGGAAAAGTCTTTCACACATAGTGAGGGAAATAGTAAACAAAGATAAACGACTCGATAAACAAACTACTGAGTACAACGGTTGCTGATCAGGGAATGCACTGGAGTTCTGCTGTTGGCAGTTGCTGAAGGTCTGCTCCATGCAGGAGTGCGGACAGACCTCTCTGGGGTATGGATGGGGAAAGCCTAGGCCTGTGCTACTCTGGGAAGGCATACATAGGCAAACACTGGCTACAGGCTGGGTTGGGAAGGAGGAGCCTCAGCAGAGGCAGCCAGGAGGCACCATGAGAGTTGGGGAATAGACTAGGAAGATTAGAGAGGGAGACAGATAGGCAGAAT